GAGCCAGACGCCGCTCCCCTCTGGTCACCTCGTGCCCGCGGACGAGCGCCCTCGACGATCGCGCACGCGCACACACGCACGCACTGCCCCGGGCGCAACTTGTCAGTCTGTGGCTTGAGCGACGGGCGTCTCGCGTCGAGATGAGGATGCTGGCGCTGCTGTGGGCGGCGACGGCGCTGAGCCTGGCGCCGGGGGCGCTGGCCGTGCCCGGCGAGCGCTCGGCCGTCATGGGCGACCTGTACTGGTGCTCGACGCTGTGCATGTGCCGCACGGGCACGCAGATGCAGCTGCAGTGCTTCGACCGCAGCCAGATCTACTCGCTGCTGATGATCAGCGAGCACTACGCCTCCAAGCTGACGCGCAGCAACTGGCTGCTGGAGGAGCGCGTGCACTGGTGCAACGACCTGTGCCTCTGCCACACCGGCAGCAACAAGGAGTTCCAGTGCGTGGACGAGAGCAAGCTCGAGGAGTTCATCGGCGAGGCGGTGGACGGGTCCCTCCTGTACAGCGCGCGGCCGCAGGAGGAGGCGGCGGAGGACGAGGCGGCGCCGCAGGAGGAGGCCGAGGCGGAGCACAGGAGGAGGTCGGAGGAGCGCAAGAGGAAGAGGCAGAGGAAGAACAAGAAGCGCGTCAGGGAGGACGAGGACGAGGAGGAGGCCCTCGAGGACACCGCGGCGTCCGCGCACACGTCCAGCCCGCCTCATGAGGACGCCCCCGCCGCCCACACCACCACGCCCGTGCCCGCGGCCGCCCAGCCCTCGCCCGCAGAGCCCGAGGGCGACGCCGAGCTGCTGCCCAAGCAGGAGGCCGTCGCCGCCAGCCCCGCTGTGACCGCCATGCAGCCGCCCCGCGCGCCGCCAGCCGTACACGCCCACGCCGCCCGCCACCCACGCCTCGCACGCCTCCACGCGCGAGGGCGGCAGCCCCGCCCCGGAGGTGTCGGCCGTGAGGGAGGTGCCCGTCGAGCGCAAGACGGTGGCGCTGGAGGTGTCGCAGGACCTGGACGAGCTGGGCAGCGCCGTCCTGCAGATCAGGAGCGACGTGGTGCTCAACCAGCGCATCCTGCTCGTCACCGTCGCCGTCGCCGGCATCGCCATGCTCGGGTAAGTCGCCGGGGGCCGCTCGGGATCGCCATGGGGCAGGGGAGGGGGAGGGGGGGGCAAAAGGCATGGCAGAAATGGCAGTCGGAAAAATTCCTGGTCATTCATATCTATCCCATTAATTTTTTATTTGTTTCATATATTCAAAGTCATTAGCAATTTATCACAGCAATTACTGTTGGCAAAATTCGAGGGGTTTTGTTTTCCTTTATCAGAACGAACGAACATTTCAGGTTCAGTTCCAGTTAGCGTTGAACTGGACAGGATATGTACTTTAAAATCTCAATTATGAAAATGTGAAAAGAAGACGAAAACGTTAACAAGATTTTTAAAGTGAAAGAAGGAGAGCGAGAGTGAAGAGAGAGAGAGAAAGAGAGGGAGAGAGAGAGAAGGAAAAAGAGAGAAAGAGAGAGAGAGGGAGATGGAGAAAGAGGAAGATGGAGAGAGAGAGGAGGAGATAGAGAGAGAAAAAGGAAGATATAAAGAGGAAGATGGAAAGGAGAGACAGAGAAATTAAAACTTTAAAAAAATGATATTTCTAAAGATTTTGTGTATATATATGTATATAATATATATATATATATATATATATATATATATATATATATATATATATATATATAATATATATATATATATTTTTTTATGTAATTTGCGGTTGTGATTTTTTTTTTTTTTTTTTTTTTTTTTTTTTTTTTTTTTTTTTTTTTTTTTTTTTTTACTTTTGGATGTATTTTGCGGTTATGATATTTTCGTTATTGTCTATCCTGTCCTTTTCCTGCCCTGTAGTTATTCTCTGATTTAATTTTTTAATCATTTTTTTCCTTTTATTCATCAAATTTTTTTTTTTTTTCGTATCAACCACAGCCCTATCCTAACAAACAACAAAGACAAACATAATAAAGAGCATCGCCTCTAACATACCAGGACTCTTGAAACGTCCTTTGTTAGAGCCCGAGTGTAATTAGAACAAACAACGTCAAACAAGCCAAGGAACATTATGAAAATTAGTGACATCGTTTGTTATTACTCCGCCGACCCTGTGGCCGAGACCCGTTAAGGAGTTAGATCGTGGTGAAGGGGGGGGGGGGGGGGGAGGGGAAAGGGAGGGGGGAGTTGGGGAGGGGAGAGGGGGTTGGAGAGGGAAGAGGTGGTGGGGGAGTTGGGGGGGGGACGGGAGGGAAAGAGGGGGAGTTTTGGGAGGGGAGAGGGGGTGGGGGAAAAAAGGAGAGGGGGAGTTTGGGAGGAAGAGAGGGGGTTGGAGAGGGGGAGTTGGGTAAGGGGAAAGGTGGTGGGGGAAGGGGATAGGGGAAGCGGGAGGGGAGTTGGGGGGGGAGTCTTGGGGTGGGAGAGGAGAGGGGAAGGGGGACGTTGGGCGAGGGAGAGGGGAGGGAAAAGGGGGGCGGGTTGGGAGGTGGGGAAGGGGGGGAGAGGGAAGCAGGGGGCGTGGGAGGGAATAAGAGGGGAGGATTTTGGGGAGGGGAGCGAGAGGAGCCAAAGGCGGGAGTTGGGGAAGGTGGAATGGTAGGGGAAAGTTGGGGAGGGGGGAGGGGTAGGGGGAGTTGGAACAGCGAGAGGGAAGGGGGGTAGGGGGATTTTGGGCAGGGAAGAAAGGGGTGGGAGAGAGAAGGGAAGAGGGGGAGGGGTGAGGAGGGGAAGGGGGAGGAGAAGGGAAAGAGGGGGAGGGGGAAGGAAAAATGGGGGGAATGGGGAGGGATTGGAAAAAGGAAGGGGGGGAGAGATAGAAAGAAACGGGGAAGGGAAGGAGAAAGATGGAATGTGGGCATTATATGAAAGGGAGAGAGGAGGGTGATGAGCGGGGGGGGGATGGGGGGGTAAAGGGAGTGCATAATGCTATGATGACAAGGAAGAAGGTTTTTAGGGGGTGGGGTCGGGGTGGGGGGGGAAGGGACGAAAGCGTGTGAACTCCGAGAGCACATCTGATGTGTAGGGAGAGTTGAAGAGGAGAAGAGTAGGAGGAGGAAAGGAGCTGAGGAAAGGAGTTGGGAAAGGGGATATAAGGATGAAGGGGAGAGAGGAGAATGAGGGGGAGGAAGGGAAGGAGAAATGAGTAGAGATAAGAGGAGAAAAGTACCAAGCCACAGATGAAGTGAGAGAAGATGTGAGAAAAAGGTAGGAGGAGAAGAGAACGCGAGAAAGAAGGATGAAGGAAAGGGAGAGAGGAGTCGGGTATAATTGGAAATAAGGAGAGCGAGCAGAAAGAAAACACACCGCCTAAATCAAAACTTATTGGCGTAGAGTCGGATAAAAAAGAAAATAAAAAGACGAGCTGCACACTTTGGTTGAGCTGGAAAAAAAAGAACAGGGGACGTTAGATGAACGAGAGGAAAAGAGGGGAAATCGGCAGGCGAGGGGGGTATGACAGGCTCGCGCGGGAAGAGGGAGGCAGACGAAGGTTTAGATAGGGTGAAAACAAAAAGGAGGTGTGCACATCTATCTTTAGGGTGGCGCGATCCGGTGTTCTCCCTCTTTAACCTCCTTCCCTCTTCTTCGCAACACGCAATTTGGGTAGGAACGGTAGCATGTGCGGTCCTAATCGTCCTTTAAGTGAACGAAAGACGCATGCGCAATTGCTCTCAATTAAATCGCTCTTGTTTTTTTTTTTTATTTTTTTTATTTTTTATTTTTTTTTTTCTTTTTTTTTTTTTTTTTGCATGTGGGGCTGGAAAAGGAGAGGGGGGAGGGGGAGGGAGGGAGGGGGAGGGGAAGGGAGAATGTGGTGTCGTTTATTTTTTCAAAGTTCAGAGGCGAATTTTTTTTTAATGTACTGTATGTGGACATAAATGCGTACATACATGTAAACACATAGCTATATACAACATGCGTAGCTGGCAAACACACACCACACACACACACACCTACATACACAGGAGAGCACACACACACAGACATAAGCATACACACACTCCAACAACACATACATAGCATACACACACACTCACAAACAAACGAAAAAACACACACACACAACACACAAACAACCCACACACAAACACAAAACAAAACAACCACAACAACACACAAACGGCACACAAACTGACACACACAACACACGCACACAAACACACACACAGCACACAACGCACACAAACACGCACACAAAAGACACACATACAAAATAAAATCACACATGCGTGAGTGTATGTCAGTATCGTTCCTATGTCCGCGGTTATATAAAAGTTGCATAACCTCCCCATACTTCCTCCTCCCTTTATCAGTCCCTCGCCTCCCGCCCCTTCGCCTCTGACCCCGGAGTGCCAGCCGGGGGGGGGGGGGAGAGGTCTCGCTTGGCACTCGTTTGGCACTCGATGGGCACCAGCCGGGCATGGGCGGGCATGTGAGGAGGGCATCTTTATGGCTTATCGCTTGGTGATCTTTCTTTCTTTTTTCTCTCTTTCTCTTTCTCTTTCTTCGTTCTCTTTGGCTTTCCCTGTCCTCTCTCTTTCATTCTCTCTGGGCTTCTTCTCTGTCCCTCTCTCTCTGTTTCTGTCATTGTGGGTCTGGTCGGTTCTCGCAGGTCTCTCTCTCTCTCTCTCTCTCTCTCTCTCTCTTCTTCTCTCCTTCTTCTCTCTCTCTCTCTTCTCTCTCCTCTTCTCTCTCCGTCTCTCGTCATCTCTATCTCTCTCTTCACTCTCTCTCTCCTCTCCTCGGCTCCCTCTCCCTCACCTCCCTCTCTCTCTCATCTCTCTCTCTCTCTTCTCCTTCTTCTCTCTCCTCCTTCTCCTCTCTCTCTCTCCCTCCCTCTCTCTTCTTCTCAGTCTCCTCCTCATCTCCTCTGTCTCCTCTCTTCTCTCTCCCCTCTCGTCGTCTCCTTCTTCCGCCTTCTCCTCCTCTCTCTCTCGTGTCCTCTCTCTCTCCCCTCCTCTCCACTCCCCCTCTTCGGCCTCCCTCGTCCGTCTCCTCTTCTCGTTCCTCCTCCCTCTCTCCTCGTCTCTCCAAGTTCCCTCGCGTCTCACTCCTCTCTCCCCTCCCCCTCTCTCCCCTCCTCCTTCTCTCTCTCCCTGTTCGTCCCTCCTCCCTTCTTTCTCCTCTCCTTGCCCTTCTCTCTTCTCCCNTCTCTCTCTCTCTCTCTCTCTCTCTCTCTCTCTCTCATTGTGAAGAAATGAGCTGTTGACAGCAGTATTTGTGCAAAATTACTATGTTGATGTAATTCTTGCATGAATGCAGCATATTGGGTTCAATTTTGAGAATTATAGAAGCATTAGTGTAAAATAAATGAAAACCAAGAATTGATGAGGCTTTTTGGGAGGAGGGTTAGGTGTATGTAAACACACCCACATTAGGTTAATCATTTTAATCATCTTCATTTAGTAGGCCAACACCCATTTTTATGTGAAGAAAAAAAAATACTTACCTAAATCAAATTGTTTTTTTAATGACTTTTATAATAAACAACCTTTCCCATGGGAGACTAGTGTAGAGTTAGTGCCTAGTAATTTGCACCCATTATCTTTGCTAATAAGGGCATAAGGATTATCAGTCATCAAGGTGTAGTTTGTTATCTACATTTTTATGGTACCAACGGTAACATCTGCACATTATATTTTTACCAGAAATGTGTTAAAAGGCTGCAGTAACTGTTTCAAAGCTTAACAAAGCCTATATATAAGATGAGTTTAAACTTCCATTTAGTTTTTATTTTAGGGTAGGTATCTTTGTGCTCTATCATCAGCATAAAGTAATTGATATCTCACTTATATTTCAGAAGTTAAAAAATCTGGCTATGAGGTGCCCTTTGTATTGAAGTGTTCTTTGCAGTGGAAACAATCTGTTTTAAAACAAAATGAATTTGCCAATAGTGGATGGTACCAACCATCAGAAGCGTTCAAACAAAATATTATTATTATTTATTTTACTTCTTTTTCTTGACATTTTCACATACAGACCATTTTGTAAGCTACAGCCTGTTAACAGCAAAAGTGCATACAGGTGTACCTGATGCTAATTACCTGAGTAGGTAGTGTACCTGATGCTAATTACCTGAGT